ATTGTTTTTTTTTTGTCTTTTCAATTATTTGTTTTTTTTTTTACTTTATTTATTTAAGTGTTGGATGCCGTACAAGTGACACACCTCTTCTTTCATCGCTGCTACTGCTGCTTCTGTATTATTAAAATCATTAACGAGATATTGTTATACAATTTGCAGTTGTCATTCCATTTCTTCTTTAATTTAAAATAATTTATATTTTTTAACTTTGCTAAATTGCTATTTTCTCTCTGTACAATTTCTACAGAATCTTGCCTTCAAATTCATTGTACGATTGTTTTAAAGCTATTTTTCGCATCACTTTTTTGAGAGCTAAATTTTTTTATTTTTTATTATCTATGAAATATATTTTTTAAATTAAATAAAATCGTTCAATTTAATGCTAACAGACTATAACATTTTATTATCAATTTTTTTCAAATGACTAATAAATTTTTTTATGTATTTTAATCATTTTTGAGTTTGAACAAAGATTTTTTAATAGTTTTTTAAAAACACATATTTTTTCTTTTTTTAATAAAAAGAAGTGCACGTTTTTAGATATATTGATATATATAGACATGACATATATATATAATATAGAAATATTAAATTTTTTGCAAAGCTGAAGCTTTACAAAATAGTACTTTCATAGTACTTTCAAAGCTAGCAATCGGGTGACTTCAACTTATTTTTTGTTTTATTCAATAACTATTAGAAATACAGAAAAACTTTGTATGAGTGAATTGTTTATTTTTAATATATCTATAACTTTTAGGAAGACAGTTTTTATGTAAAATTAAATATGTCGGAGATATAAGCAATCAAAGATGAATTTTATGGAAAAAATCGTTATTTTCCAATCTTTGAGGCTCTTGGAGCACCATTTCCACTTATCCAATTGAACTAAAATTTCACACAGATTATTTTTTTAGCAAAATGAACCGATCTGGGGGGTGCCACGGGCATTTTTTCGACTTTCAAAAATTAATGGTACCCTAAATATATATATATATATATATATATATATATATGATATATATATATATAGAGATTAATCTACTTAAACCCCTATATACGGTTATATATAATTATTTTCGAGATGAATGGCACTCTTCAAAATCATATATTAGAAATTCTACTGGGATCACGGAACAGATATAATTAACAAACCGCGTCGATTTTAAAATATGAAAGTTAATGACCTATGTTATAACCCTCATGAATATATTTTTCAATTATTGTACGTATAATATATTTACTGTATTTTAAGAGATATAGATAGGGATAAAGATATACAATTATTAATATTACTATTCTAAAACTACAATATACATAGTATATGTACTTTTCTATATTAAAAGCATATTTATTTTATTCAAAAAAACTTGTTAGCAATATAATATAACAAAATGTAAATTAAATGGGTTCAACGTAATAATTAAATATAATAAACTAAACATATTAACCCTTTTTTGCGGAATACCTTAACATATCTGTGAAATAATTAACCAATCTATTATTAAAAGGATTTCTTCGCCAATGTTAGAATTATTCTGCAATCTATAAGTGTGAAGTAAGTTTAAAAAGAAGGAATTTTTAATTGAGGAACAACGTAATGCACATTTAGAAATTAAGAAAGTTCTAGAGAGCTAGCCATATATAGAATAAATAAAGCATAAAAGCAAGTTAATATGTGTATTGAAGCAAATAAAGTTTGAATAGTTTATTCTGTTATGATAATTAGAACAATCATTTGTATGACGAAATATTTTTTTAAATAATTCTTAAGTAATTCAGTTATAATTTATATGTAATTATTTATTATAATTTTGCTATAACATTTATTATAGTAGGACAGTTATAATACATTGCACTTATTGAAGACTCAAACCGACAGCTTTATGGTTACACCGTGCTATCGGATTAAGGTTGTCCATGAATCTTATTTTTAAGTCCATAGATCAAAAAATTTAGAACAATAGATATTAATTAAAAACAGGAGTTAAATCTACAAAAATCTTTAGAACATTCGTATGCAAACATGGAAGATCTTGTGAAAACAATTCAAATAATAATTCAGATTAATATAAATTAAAGAAAAAAAATGTATGGTTTATATCCATTATTCCAATAACAACTAGTAGTAAGTTTTTTCAGTAATTAATTAAGAATATGTAAAAAAAATATCAAAAGATTAACCGAAGTATAGAATAAGTAGCGCACTTATATTATTGTTATCTATTGGTAAATAAATCAAGTTAAGCCTCAAATACACTTTAATATCGCTCAATAAATTATTTATTATCATTTGATATGTTTTGATATGTTAACGAAATATTACTATTTTTCTATTATTGGTGGATAAATCAAGTTAAATCTCAACTACAATTAAAAATAATGCTCAATAAAAATTGATTTAAAATTTAAAAAAAAAAAATAAACGAATTAGTTTCATCAAACTATCAAAACTCACTTATTCTGGAAGATACCTAATATACTTAATATAATCCGGATGAAAGCAGCAAACAAGCTGTAGAAAATAATAGTTTTGTAAAAGTAAATTTCATAATAAGAACATCAAGCAATTATTTTAGTTTTGAAGACATATTGAAAGATCAGAACTAGTACCTGCTTAAATTAGAACGTTATGCATCATACAAAGTAGGAAGAAAAATTAGTTGCAAATTACTATTATTTCCGGTTAAATTTTGTTTAATATTATTCAATCCTTGAATACTAATGAAACCTAACGTAACAAACCTACCTGATATGATGGCATAGTTACAGCACTACTAACTTATAGTAGACAATTTTTTTGTGTTGAATCCATTTTTGTTGTCACCAATGACATGCTATCATTATGGGTTGTATTATTTTCTAATAATATTGTTTTTTTTATTATTTACTATAGTATTTATACATTTAAGCTGAATTAAAAAGAACAAGTACAGTGTTGCATTTTACAACGAAACAAATTTAAAAACTATTCATATCTACAAAAATTTGCAACAACAATGATGTTGTCTTGTGTGTTATAAAGTAATAAATGATAGGTTATAAATGAATTATTGAGAATTAAAATTTTATAAGCTATTGATACGCATTGCAATTAATCGTGAGATTGGTTTATTAGGAAGAAAGTCAGTCGGCTTATAATCACAACATTTTTAAAGTTTTATTTATTTAGTATTTGATGTAGAAGACAATTTTTTTATATATTTATTTTTTTTTTTTTTGTTTTTGTTATAAACCATCTTTTGTTAATTAGTATCATCTTATTCTACGTTATTCAAACAAATAAAATTAATATATTTATTTCTATAGAACTATTATAATTTATATTAAGTTAGCCATATACGGATTCACTAAACTAGTATTAAACTTTAATACTGTATTAACATTTATAAGTTCATGAGGACAGTAACATATATAACATAAGTAGTCATTGAAGAATATTTTATATTTTTATTTTAGTTGGTTGTTTGAAATATTAAACCACCATATATATCTATATCTCTAACTGATTTAGTATCAGATGTTTAGAACAATTTTTTTATATATTTATTTAATTTATGTTTAACATTCTGTGTAGGTTAGTTAGTAAAATTAATAACATCTTTGATATATGGAACCATCAAAGATATCTATATCTCTATCTGATTTAGTATTCGATGTTGAGGATAATTTTTTTTAAATATTTATTTAATTTGTGTTTAACATTCTGCGTATGTTAGTATCATTTTATCTATTATTTTTAAAATATAAAATTAAATGTGTTTTATAAGTAAGACATGTGTGGCTTTACTGAACTAGTATTTAGCACCCAATATTGTGTTAACATTTATAAGTTTAGGAGGACGTGTAAACTTTGAAAATTAATTTATATATATGTACATATATATATATTCTAGCAATAGAGAGTATAGAATATATATTCTCTATCTGATTTAGTATTTGATGTTGAGGAGAATTTTTTTTATTTATTTATTGTATTTTTTTTATATGTATTTTATTTTATTTTTTATTTATTTTATTTTTTTTTTTAATAATTTTATTTGTTTTTTTTTTGTTTTTTTTTATTTATTTATTAAATTTTTTTAACATCGTTTGTTGGTTAGTATCATCTTATCTAACTGAACTGTTAGTAATTCTATGAAGTAAGACATATGCGGGTTCACTGAACTAGTATTTAGCCCTTAATGAATGTATAGTGTTAAAAATCATAAATTAATGTGAATGTTAAAATATATATGTAATTATTGCATAATAATTTACATTCATATTGTAGCAAAATGATTAAGATCTTTCAAAATTTTGAGCCACCAAAAATACCTATATCTATAAATCGATTTCACAATACAAACAGAGCTATGAACAACTATGCAATTCATGTACATATTAATGCCAATTTAGGACGTGTGCGAGTTCAAGTAAATTGAGGGAAATAGTAAATTATGTCGGTATGGCAGCAAATGTTGTTATATACCAGAATTTCGAGTAGAGTAAATTAGATACAAATTAGGTAAATAAGATGTTAACATTGTGAAAATTTTTTAAGATGTTTAATAAATAAATAAATAAATTTGAAAACTCTTGACCAAAAATAATAAATAAATGCAATAAATAAATATTAACATAAATGCAGTGCAAAAAGTTCCTATGAAATTTCCATTTACTTTACCTCAATTTACTAGAACTCGCACACGGCCTTAAACATTTTAAGTAACTGTCGTATTTAATTTTGAACTAACTACTTTTTATATAAGACATAAAAGAAATAGTTCTGTAAATTAGAATAAACCTATATATATATATATCTATGTATGGTTTAAGTTGCATTTAAAACGACATTTCAGCACGTTTTACCGGTTTGTGGTAAGACGCATTCGCATATGAATTATTTCTTATGCAATGCAAACAAATATTTGCTTCACGTGCTGTTGCTTATCAACGAAACGTGTTCGCCTCGCCGTCTGACAGTTGAGTTTATGAAAATATTTTGTATATTTTTTGCTTACCTGCCAAGAATTTCTTTCGGTTCATATTTCGCATAAAATCCTTTTGCAGCATCCTTATCAGGTAAAAGATCATCCTCTTCATCTTTAGCCATTTTTTCTAGTGGAATTTTGACGATTTTGTTGTTGTAAATAAAACTATTTTAGTCAAGCCTAAACACACTTTTTAGGAAGTTGAAGAAATCCTTTCTTTATTTATATTCAATTATTTCAATGGAAGATAAATATTAAGTCGTTGGCTTAAGAAGATCAAAAATATTTATTTTAGATGAATGTCAACTAAACACAACTAAATAATATTAAATATTTATTGTCTACTTGTCCATATCGTATGTTTGTATTTGTCGTGTGGAAAATTTTGTGTTACTTGCAGATGATTTTTAATTTAAAATTTTTTTAAAGATATTGAGATGCGCTCTGTATGCTATTTTTATAGAATATCACAAAAAGAAAAAAAAAATATCGTTCAGCTGGTACAAGTTGTTGTTGTTACTGAGACAATCGCTGCTACTGCAAAGACGTGTGATTTGTTTTACATATCATGTACATATATTGTTGCTTTTTTTGCTTTTTTATATAAAATTAATTTATTTTAATTTATTTAGTATCTTACTCGATTACACAACACATCCGATTTTTTTTTTGCAAACATTAATTGGTTTCTTTTACTGCCATGAAAGATATTTTGCACAAGATTTTATTTGTAGTTTTTAATGAAAAATTCATATTAAAAACTATTAATATAAATTTTACAATGTTTTTTCTTTTTTAGTTTGTGCATTGGCGCTTACTCCACTTTCAATTATTTATTTTATTTTTATTAGGGGAAGCAAAATTTGGTGGGTAGTTTTTTTTCGTGGCACTCTTCCTCTCTTTTTTTTTTTGTTTCTTATTCGATTCTTCAATGTCAAATAAGGTTAACAAACATTTCACATTAGAAAATTTGTCAGTCTTTCGTTGAATTAAAATAATTAATAATAAAAGCAATTATTTGTGTTTATTTAAATTCTAATATTAATAATTATCAAAAATATTAAATATTTTTTTACTAATATAAATTATTGCATATGTATATATTAATTGTTACGTTATTCACTAAAAGCCGCATCCGATTTTTATTAAATTCATTCATAATTGTCACAAGAGTTTTTAATATATATGCTTTTTGCTATATTAATAGTGAAATGAAATATTCTTGTTTTATTTTAGAATTGCGATAATATATATATTTTGTAACCTAAATAAGCCACCTCTAAACGCATTCACTTCACAACTACTACTGAATTTTTTTTTGTTTTTATTTCTATTCGCCGTGTATGACAAAATCAAAAACTGCCAAACGTGTAGTGAACAAAACATACGTAGCAAAACGTTACGTTATGTAAATTACTTACGTTTCCGTTAAGCGTTTTTTAAATTTAGCGTGGAATTAAATTGCATAAAGTTGAAAAATATAGTAAAATGTTTTTATTTAGTATTAAACATATAAATTATTTATTATAGTTAACAGTTTTTAAAAGTTTTTTTTTATAAGATATAATTATTTAAGTATAATTTATTGTTTTATTAAACAAATTTTATTTATATAAAATTAAACCAGCTTATCGTTTAATTACTTAAATAATAAAGAACTAAACAATTAAATAAGTAAAACAATTAATTAAAAACAAATTGATTTTAACAAATATATTTTATTTTCACCAATATTTCGACTATAGTCTATAGTTATCAATTTTATGAATTTATTTATTGAGTCAATGCAATGTAGACGTTAGAATAAAGAGGATGATATAGATATAGTTGTAGTAATATTAATTTATGTAAACTTGTGATCCTGATGATGACTCTCAAAGAGAGTCGAAATATAGAATATAATAAAAAATATTTAACTTTGAATTATTTAACAAAAAGTGACCTTTAGGATTAAAAATTATATAAAAATCGTTATCAATTTTATTTATCTATTATAATATTTAAATAAGAGCTGATAAAAAAATTATATATATTGTTGTATATAGGTGCATGTACATTGTACATGTACATAGGTCTCTATAATAGAATTGAAACAATTATTAACTTCATAAAATCTTCTTTAATAGAAGAAAAAAGCAAGACTTTATAAATGGGAATAGAAAAAAGCAATGAAATATTATAAAAAAAATATTATTGCATATTTGTTATTATACATTTATAAAATAATGTTTACAGGTTTCTCGGAGATGTATGCAGATCTGATGTCAATTATTGCTTAGTCTGATGAAGTGATAAACAATAACCCAGTTAAGGCGTATAGAGAGGTTATGAAAAAACCTCGCTGTTAATAGAGAGTAAAAGTGCTCAAATGTACTGACTCAACTAGCCTCAATATAATAATAAAAAAATTTAAGAAAAATTCATAAGTTTTTCTTATTACCATATAAAGTGTTAAATAACCAACCTTAAGCACATTAAAAATAAAATTTATAAAAGTAATGCTTACCAATAAATAACTCAGTTATGTTATAATATTTTAATACAATAATAGGGACAAAAAGCAACACAAGCTTTAATTCAATATAAGTTAATATTATGTTTAATTAAGAATTTTAGGAATAAATTATAAAATTCAAAATTCGCTGTTTAACGTTACACATTTCGGTAAGAAGCCGAGGTGGTCGGCATATAGCTTGTATTAAGGTGCCCATATTTGCAATATAATACATTTTATCACCACTTATGGTTTCTAAAGATCTTTTATTCCCTTTAATCGATTCATTAAATTAAATGAAGGATTGATTACTCATTAGCTTTACTGAAGTACAAAACACATTGTTCATTTTTTTTCATATTGTTTTATCATATAAAAACAAATGAATTAAAATTGACTAATTTATTCGATCCACGTGTTGACCGACGATGAACTGAATAGGATAACATGAATTATCAAACAATAATAACAATACAATAGAAGGTGTTACTTTAAGTCTTAATGGAACATAAAGCCTTTACACAACGTTTCCATTCGATATATTTTCTTCTAATAATTTAACATCATTTCGTAATTTTCTGTATTCTACAATTGTTACCGCAGACTGATGGGCCGACAGTTGATCCGACATATCATTTTTTGACACATTTTTATTGAAATGTTTTCAACTGAGATTACACTACTTAAATTGAGTAGTCGAGGTCGATGAGTGGCTCCGGGATATAGACTCGACATTTTTTGGAACCTTTCTCCCTCCTCCAACTACCACCCATCTCCACCCTAACCCATGTATTCGTTTTATAAACCTTACATGTTAGCTGCTTTACAGGTCCCGGCGGACTACAAAAACAACAACAACACTACTATTTAAATTAATGAACTGGTCTTCAAGTTCTAGGTTTCGGTTGTCGTTTTTGACAAACAATTTATTTGCATTATATTTCTCTAATCTGAATTGATCTCTATCACTGCCATTTTTAATTAAATGTTTATCATATTATCATATTATTTTGGAGTAAGACACATCATCGGCTTATTCAAGATCCTCGTTAAAATTGTTGGGTAAGGCATCTACCTGTGTCTGTGAAAATAAACGGTCGAAAGAACATAAATGATAAGCAACATGTTGACCTACCTAAATCTGTGGTCATCGTAGTTTCCATCAACACTTCGTGATTTCAAGGATCTGCTAAAATCTTGTGAAATACATTCGCTGATAAAAAAAGGTGTTTTGTGTACGTAGATGCCATTCAAAAGGTTGGTACTGACATTCTCAAGGACATACCATCCAACAATCTAAAACAGTCATTAGACATGCTTTAAGATTGTGTAAATCAGAGTATTAAGTCGGAAAGAGAATAATTAAATTTTTGCAATAAAAAAATGGATTTCGTTGTTATTTATAAACAGTTCTGTTTACTTTAAAACAATATTATTGTTTGTATATATTAAGAAGAAAGATATTAATATATCAAAATGTTATTATAATAAAATAATGAAACATTAAAAATTTATTTTAAGTTGTACATACGTATTTATTTTGCAAAACGTTTATATAAAAATTAAAAATTACACTTTTGTTCAAATACAATATTTATATAATTATTTATCATATTTATGTATGTCGGCATGTATAAACAGCTTAATTATAAGAGGAAGTTTTGGTATGATTAGTATATAGGCATAAAAAAGCTAAAAGCTAATACTACTTGTAAGCAAATACATACTTTATATATTACTTTTTTATATATCTTATCTCATGTTTAAAATATAAAAATTTTAAAAACTAAGCATAGGCATATAACAAGTGGATATAATATAGATATATAATTTTTAATTTCTTTTTTAAAGTATGCAGTAATAATAATAATAATAATAAAGGATTATGGTACATAAATAGGACTTTTTGATATAAATTGTGATTTTATATTTTATATTTGGAGTAAAAAATTGAAAATTGCTATGAGCAAAATTTAGAATTTTTGTCGAGGTGTGTGAGTTTTTAACGCAATCATATGTATGTGTTTTATTGTAATGAAATGTAAATACTTCATATGTATGTGTTCGCTTTGTTTGAACATATTACAATATTAAAAATAAAAGAAAATACATTATTAAATGATATAAAATTTGAGAAAAATTCATTAAACTTTAGAATTTGAGAAAAATTTTAATACAATATTTTTAGATTTTTATTTATTGTTGCGCCTGTATTTTAGCTTGCATTTGAGCCAACATTTCCTGCATACGACGCAACTCGGCTTCTTTCTCTTGTAATATTCGATCCTTTTCCGATAATACACTATTTGCAACTATTTGTGCTGGAACAATGGAATCTCGTTCAGGTTTAATACCATTTTCTTTTTGTTTAATGCCTTTTGCCAAACGATCAGAACGGTAATTTTCATAATGTACTTCTTGAGTAACCTCTTGTAAATCTTGCATGTGTGTACTAAAAAAAGAAAAATAAAATATATTATTTTCGCGCGATTTGTAGAATATTATTTAAATATATAATTACATTAGCATTGTGCGTAGTTTTATAAAATCACAATGGTCGGGATTTTCCACTTCAACTACACCCCAAGGATATAAACGACCACGCACTTTCTTGCCCTTAACTTCTAATAATGTATTAGCACCACAAACAGCAAATGGCACAGCTTCTTTAAGCTGTTTCACTTGTTCCTTATAGTCTTCATCTTCATCGGAATCGCAATCTGGCAGTGGATATATTTTAATGCCGTGGTCTTCAATTTCTTGCATAATACGACATTTTAAACGTAGCACCTCTTTTTTAGTTAAACAATCTGCTTTGGCAATGACAGGCACAATATTAACTTTACAATGTAATTTTTTCATGAACTCAACATCTAGGGGTTTAAGCCTATAAAAATTATTTATTATTAAAAATTAATTTAGTTTTCGAAAAAGTGTTTTTACGTACCCATGCCCAAAAGGCGAAATAAAATAAAAACAACAATGTATGCGATTGTCAATTATATTTCTACGATTTAAACCGCTTTCATCTCGAAGAAAACGTTCATATTGCTCGTCAATATATTCTAGTATGGCACTAAAACTATCCGAGTTATCGATAGCATCCCCAAAACCAGGCGTATCTACCACTGTAAGTCGTAGCTTAACACCGCGCTCTTCAATTTCTACAGTAGATGCTTCAAGTTTAACAGTTTGCTTTTGTTTTTCTAATTAAATACAATTTTTTATTAATATATGATAATAAAATGTAATAAAATTGAAATGGTGTAAAAATAATACTCAACATACCAATAGCATCTGGAATAATACGTTCTGGATATAAATCTGTTAAAAACAAACTATTGACAAGTGTCGATTTCCCCAAACCGGACTCTCCAACAACCATTAATGTGAATTCAAAGCCTTTTTTCACTGACTTTCGGTGCACTTGATTTGGTAAGTTAGCAAACCCCACATAACCTGGTGCTTCCATGCTTGAAAACTGAAATTGGACGAAAAAAAAAGTTTTTGTAAATTAAAAAAAATTATAATTCTTAACAATAAATGGAAATTCGATTTCTACAGTTAATCTGATATTAACATAATTCTGGAGAGTTGAGAGTTATAACCACAGAAAACTTCATACTAAAATAATAATACGAGCGAGTACCATAAAAAAATATTATATGGTAAAAATAATTGAATAATTTTTCACAATACGTTCTTAACGGCTTGGTTCAAAAAAGTTTGACTGCATTTTAAACGTCTCATATAGTGTAGAATCATTAGTTTAATGAAATTTAAAAATGTCAGTTGCTTCAGTAGATTATAACTTTTTAAAAAATATAGGAATACGTGCTGTTTTTTTTGAATGAATTTAACTGCATTAAAGGTAACAATATAAGAAACACTTCAGAAATTGGACCCTTTAAATTCTGGAGGCCTTTTCATCAGAAATTATAGTCATAGAGAGAATGATAGTCAATGAGAGAATGAATCAAGACCACTGATAATGTGTATTTGGCAATATTCGTAACAGTTATGTGGTCAGCTAGAGACCAAATTAATTAAAAATTATAAAATTTTGTTGTTACCATTCATTACTGTTCGAAACCTCTATATCTGCCTGCCATAAGTAACTTTTTTAAAATGGCACTATGAGCTAATTGATCTGAATTCTGGTCTATACAAGGTTATAGTAGGTTAAGTATAGGCAGACTGCCTATGAGTCCGTTGCGATTTCCTAGAGCTCATAACTAATAAATGAAAATGAAAAAATTGCAACAAAAAACTTAAATTTTTAACGACTTTTTTCTAGCCAAATTTTAGCCAAATATTACCCGAATATATATACAGAATATATATATTTCTACAATATAATAGAGCTTCACGCACTAAGAATTTTGTTTTGTTTTTATTAAAATTATTTATATGCAATCTATATATAAGTCCATAATTATAATTGAGTTTCTTAACATATATATATATTTAACACAGACTAATCTTTATTAAAAATTGCAAATCAATCATAATTTAACTATTAATTCCATTTTCTATAGGGCGATCTATCATCTGATATCTTTTTAGACGATATTCATAAGTATTATCATGAGAATTAAAATGGATACGTAATTGATCTAAGTATTATGCACTAGTTTTATTGATTTCATTCTTGATAGTAAAAATACCTAGGTCACAACATATTACTTTGTTGGTTTTAAATCATGGGGTTTTATAAGTTATTTGACTGGTGTCTTTGCAGAAATTCTACATTTGAGTTATACTAGTTATATAGATTTTATCTGTAGTAAGAACGAATACTTCTATCCTTAAAACTGATTGTTTTGGTTGCAAACCATGAGGCATTAAAAACTATTCTAGTAGACCTCCACTAGTTTATTTGCACAAACTCTAAATATGAAGTATATTGATTATATATACAGTCATATATATATATAGTTATATATATAGTCCATAACTCGAAGTACCATTTTGCAAAGAAGGGGCGACTTATGCAAACATCGAGTTAAAGAATTTTTTTTTGTAATTGTATGTAATTTGCTCGCTAAACCCTGTTAAACTATATTTAGTTCGAGTTATGGAAGTTTGACTGTATTTCATCTCTGATAGCAAGAACTCATCTATCCTAAAAAATTATTTTGTTAGATGCAAATCATTTACAAATTATTATATCTTAAATTGTGACCTTTGCAGAAACTTTATATTTCAGTTACTGAAGTATTATTTTCAGCAATTGCTAAACAGACAAGATAGCCAGACGGGGTGCTTCAAGTAACCACTTGGAATATCTTAACAATCTGGGCAATTCGTTGACAGCATGTAAATTGGTGCTAAGTTCTTCCTGTGCCGAACTTTTTCATAAAAGTGGGAAGACTCAACGATATAGAGGCATCTTTATGCAATTTGGCAACGCCCCGATAAAAGAAAATTAAACTCTCTCATCGAGATGCTTCGTAGAGATATCAGTCTTGCAGTAGGTTAACTTACAGGTCGTTGTATTTTAGGTAACCACGCTAGAGGACTAAATCTCCCTTTCAAGTATATCTTCCGAAGTTGTGCTCAGGATGATAAAAGTGCTTTCCACCTGCTTTGTGTCTGTCCGGCACATGCGCGGCGTCGCCTTAATACTTAATGGGCTATCTTTTTTTAAGGATCTTAGCGAACTTTAGGACTTTCCTCTGAATAGCATCATAGGCTTTGTCAAGGGTTCTAAATGATTTTAACCCTTGGGTTTTTAATAATACGCTAGCACTTTGGGCCTACAGGCCTAAGTGGATCCCTTGGGATCGCCGGTATAACCTAACCTAACCTAACCTAAGTTACTGACGTGTTTTCTGAAATTTATTGTCATAGAAACATAAAAATATTTGCATGTAAGTCAACTTTGTAATGAGTACATTTCCAATGTCGGGCCTAATATACTGAGAATTCCTTTTAATTGTATCAAAGTTATGCCAAAACAATCTTTTAATGTTTATCAATTTCATCAAAATATTAATAGTTTGTTTACTACCTATAACTAAATTAAAAATTTCCATTTCCAATTTTTTCCGTATTTTATTTTAGTTCAAATAAAGTATTTTATCTCGATTCTCTATATATGATTTAAAAATTATTTAATTAAAATGTGAAAATTGTATTATTTCATGACTTTGTTTTCTATTAGTTTAATTAAATTTTCTTAACTAAATAAATAATCTGAAAAACTTAATCACTGATATTTTGAACACTTGTAGATAAACATTCATTGTTGTTAATTATCAACTTCAAGTAGAAATACAATTAAAGGCGGTCTACTTGATTTAATAATTAGCTTCAGAGTTAGAATATATACATTTGTGCCTGTGCGAAGTCAAATATAAAGATTTTTATAATAACATATCGAATATAATAGTTTTATTATTGCTTATTTTTATATAAGCAATATTTTTCGTTCAATTGTGTTAATGTATACATTATCAGTAGAATAATAAAAATTATCTATGGTACTTAAAAAAAAATTTTTATTATTTTATAACATATAGTATACTTAAAATTGTTTTTTTTTAGATATTTTTTATTCATGAAATATATATAAAATTTATATCATTTGCTTTTTAATAAAAAAAATTATTTATTAATTATATTTTTAAAGGCAAAATCAAAACTCAGATATTGCTTTATGAAGGAGCATAAATAGAGTAAATATAAGTCCAACAAACTAAAAAAATCGTATAAAACGAACGTATATATTCGATATTAATAGAGATATGGGTATTATAGAACAAATTTCGATCACAAAAATTTGATATCAGAAACAATTTATTTGAAAATGTGAAATTTTCACTACTTTTTGCTATTAAATTTGATCCGTAGTTTGTTGTTCTTTCTTAGTAGGTTTAGTTATTACATGAATTCAAATTGATTCATTTTTCTAATATTTTAAGACTCGAAATTAATCACTAAAATCTACTATTTTTTTTTCTACAATAATGCCGTAATCAATATATAGTATCTCTCTAAACAGCAATATAATTATATTCAAATGCTTTTCCAAAATATCTAAAACCTTTCTTCTAGAGCAATTTATCTTTAGTTTTAAAATAGATGTTTGTTACGAATATAACTTCATCCTATACAAAAGAGACCTGCAAGAACTACAATTAGCCTAGCAGACTTTGCCCCCGTTAATGAGTTCCCTAAACATGGATTTATTATATGAAGCGTATGATTGGTCTTAGGTCACTACTACAAAAATGTTAAATTACTGTAAAAATGTTTGATTGGGAAACAAAATTTGGCAGATCGAGATTAAATCTATTTAAATTCTATTTGAATACTAATCAAAAATGCCATAATATTGAAAATGAAATCCATTTCACCGATAACATATGATTTTGTCGACTGTTGAATTATAAAATAATCTTTTAAATTAAAACATCATTGAACAATATAATTAAATTTATATATTTTATATAACATGATTATGATTAGGAAAGATTGTGACACATCGTGACATATGCAATCTATTACTTAGCGTAATATTGTACCATATTGTAGGCTTGACTTTATATAAACTACTTCTATTCTTAAGTATTATATATATATTCCTCTATAAATAGATGATTGCATAAAACAATTTATATATTTTTTATAAGAATTTATATAAACTACTCTTATTTTCATATATTATATATATACTGCTCTATTAATATATGATGATATAAGCCAATTTATATATTTTTTAAAACAATTTATAAGAACGAATTTATTAGATCGCTTGTCTGTTAGGCCGACAATTTTGAATTAAGTGCGTAAAGATTTTCCATAGTTAATCTATAAGATCAGCCTTACTTTGTCTCAATGTAGAGTAAACATTTAAAGAGAATTTGGGAGAATAGCTGAGAATAAAGAACCATCTGAGAACATCGTTAATAATATTATCTATGCATTATTTAAGCGTGTGCAAAATTGTGTGATAAAGTAGTTTGTGCTTAACACTACAACGGGTCGTTGTGAATTAATGAAAATTATTTTATAACATTAAAACGAGTGGAACGCAAGAAATGTGACGTGACACAAACAAAAAAAAATCTATAAACTTTGTCAGCTGTGAATTGCTTTGTTTATCTAATTCTACTTAACTTATTTTATTTGTTTCTATGTTTTGCTTTTGTTTAAAATTATTTTAGTTGTAAATTTGAATTCAAAGCCTTAAATAAACAAGAACAGGAAATTTCATTATGTTCACAAGCAAAAATCGTATATACACATTAACACTATTAACGCTTGCACTGTGGGCTCAATCGTGCACTTCTAGCAATATACTTGGTCTATTCCCACACTTCGGTTACAGTCACTTCAAAGTATTCTATCCAATATTACAGAATTTGGCGGAACGCGGTCACAATGTCACTGTGATTACGTACATTAAGAATCCGGACCCACATCCAAACTATGAGGAATTTATAATCACAGGCAAGGAAACACACGATGTCATAACATTGGACATGTTTACGCCAGCACGTAACTTGAAAATACTCTTTCATGAATATTATTTGCTACATGCTGAGGGGCAGGAGTCGTGTGATAAGTTTTATAAGAGCGGCTATGTTGATAAGATACTTGCGCGTCATGCACGTGTACCCTACGATCTGGTTATAATGGAAAATTTCAATACAGATTGTTACTTCGGTGTGCCATACTTGTTGCAAGTGCCTGTTGTGGGTGTAAGTAGTTGTGCGCTTATGCCTTGGTACTACGATCGCATTGCGTTGCCAGATATACCATCTTATGTGCAATCTGAATTTATTGGCTTTCCGGAAACACTCAATTGGCAACAACGTCTTACGAACTTTATACAGGCAAAAGGTTTAAGAACGTTGTACCGGTAAATTTCACTGTACACATGTTGTTAATTTTGTAATTAATTAAAGTTTATTTAATTATAGTTTTTACACAAACTACCTTGACAGCAAAGTTATTAAAAAGTATTTACAAATTGATGTTGACGTTAATGAAATCGCTAAAAGTCTCACTAGTTTGATTTTTGTAAATCAACATTATTCATTAAGCGGTAATAGGCCAATCACACCGCAACTTATCCAGATGGGTGGCGTACATATAAATGAGAAGCACATTAATGACACATTACCCAAAGATATAACAAATTTTCTGGATAAAATTGATGAATCTGCCACAAAGGGAGTTTTATTTATAAGTTGGGGCTCAATGATACGGTCTTCAAGCTTAGATCGAAAACTTATCAACACTATACTAAAAGTTTTAAAAAAATTTCCATTAAAAGTTATTTGGAAGTGGGAAACAGATGAGAAGCCAACAAACAGTGAACAAATCTTGTTTGTAAAATGGGCACCACAATTCAATTTATTATGTGAGTATAAAGATTTAAAATTTAATATATAAATAATCACAAATTGCACAGTGGGCTCAACTATGTAGATTTTTGTAAATAAATTTAACACGCTACATTTTTGAATAAATAGATGTCAAATGAAATGTCGCTCCAGATAAATTCCAGGTTAATTTATTACCAAATGACAATTCTTCTAAGAAGAACAAAGCCGACATTTATGGCGAGTTGCCTACTCTAAGTAAGCACCAGATTAATTTATTACAAAATTTAAATTTAGTAGATTAAAATCAAATTTATGACGAATTAATTAACAGTACACCAAACCTATTTTAACAGGTCCCAAAATGACAAAATGTCTAAAACAGTATCCCAAATCTGATTGTTGGGAGGATTTTGGATTGGTAGATTTTGTCCCATCTAACATCGAGAACTTTTCAGTGAAGAAATTTTGACTTTTGATCGTTTAGCGATTTCGATTGTGCACTTCCTATGCAAATTCACGTATTCCTTCATAATTGTCTACAAATCAATTGAAATCCTTGCCGTGGGTATCGCTGCACGAGAGGAAGACAAAAAACCAACGATTGAGAACTTTGTTGAAAAGGTTTTGCTCTATAAATGTCTGCGTATTAATAGATTTTTATAGTCCCTAACAAAAAGCTCAAATAAAGATCTTTAGAGAATATTTTCCTTATCAACTCTTAAATTGGTTTTAAAGGTTTTTCTGAATCTTATCTCCGAATATGCGATAACAAAAGTGGGGTTTATATGTTTTATGTTACAATAGAAGAAACTCTGTAGTTTTTATAATAGATATTTAATAGCTAACTAAGTTTAATTACTTGCCATAATTTCAATACTAAACTAGAATTTGAATTGAATTTGAATGAGGTATACTGCACATCGATTGTCTGTCTTCGAAAAGGTGACGTTGGAATGTAATGTTATAAAAGAATGGATATTTTGGTTGGGGAATCATATAAACCCATAGTTAGAAGTATATCGGTAATAAAAAACAGCTATATTAATTGTAATATTAAACTATATTGTATTTTATCAGCAGTTAGTATCACTGATTTAGCGATAGCCAAAACAACAAAGAAGAAACCTCCAGTTTTGTACGAAGAGTTATACAACTCATTGATTTCATAGAAATAAGTTATTTATATAAAAAAACACCGGACAAAATACAACTGAATTCTAATTCTCTGGAGTTGGACGTCTTCTCCATTTGTAGTTTTTAAGATATTTTAAAAAAAAGTATTTTAAGAACTAAGAAGTTAAAAAAACAGTTTCTTAACAACTTTCAAGATGAACTGTTTTATTATTCAATATTCCGGTTTCAACGACTATGATATTATAAATTCATGGCAAAGGTACTATCGTTGTTGGAGTTAGACAGTTCCTGATAAACCAGATTAAAAAATTGATCTTGGATTTAAAAGTGTTCTTACCATTTATATTCAAAATATATTTCTTATCATATTATAATTGATGATAATTATTTTCATTCGTACCTATCAGAGGTCAATCGCGTTTTCTTTAAAATCATAGGTCTATATAAATATCTAGATTTCATGTTTTGCGTAAATATCTGGATCTTGTATTGGCTTGGGCATTATAACCTAGAATGTTTTTATTGTTGTCTTCTACAGGTCTGCTTAAATATATTTTTACAACTTATATTTTAGGCCCATAATTTTTTGATAATTTAAATTAAGATATTTGCAATGATATTTAAAAAAATATACATTTATTTATCAATTAATGAATCTAGTAAGCAGAAAGATGAATGAAGTTCATTAATACATCGTTGTGATGTATTTCATTTATAATATATATTTTAAATTAATTATTAATATTTTAAACTAAAATTGAATTAAATAATGTTTTAAAAGTATTCTCAATAATAAAAGAAAAATTACTGAAATAGTTTTTCTTAAATTACTATTAAGATTTCGCTTAAGGCATAATAAAAATTTAATTTTTTAGGTTTATTATGCTATTTCGGTTAAACGAAAGACTTTCGGTTAAACGAATACTGGATACGAGTATAAAGCGCTCTCTAAATAAGAAATAATCAAAATTCTTATAAATAGTAATAATACTAAAATAAATTTTTTTTAATAATTATTGTTGCACATAAAATGCACTCGAAATAACTTAAGACCTTGACATTCTATCTTTCGTTAAACTGAGTGTATTCTGCTTTTACAAAATTGTTAAGATATACATATCTGAAGTGACGTTTTAAAACCTGCAATAATGCCAAGATAATAAAATCAAATATAAATCATTCTTTACAATAATAAATAATTTATTGAAATTTTATTAATCCTCAATATACTTTAAATAAATATATATCAGTTTATAAAAATCTTTAAGCAAATAAATTAAGACATACATATTACATATTACGAAAGTAGTGTTCTGGTTGAAGAGCATTATTGTATTTAAATAATATAAATACTTTTTGGCTAATAATATTTAAAATTATTTTAAATTAATCCATAAAACCATATTTTACTATTCAAGAAGGGGTTATTTTATAAGGGCCTTACATATAGATATATGCTATCATATATCCATAATAGAATATAATTATTAAATAAATATTATTGTACAATTATTACAACAAGCATCACAATTTAAAGAATATATATATATTTTTTTTTAATTTAAATGATTTTTATTTGTTTTATTTACGCAATGTATATTGATTTATTTATCGATTTACAGGTCACCCTAAGGTAAAATATTTTTGGGGTCATGGTGGTCTACTTGGCACAACCGAGGCTGTGTATTGTGGTAAACCTTTGATTGTAACACCCATATATGGCGATCAATTTACGAATGCAAATGCAGTGGAAAATCGCAAAGTAGGCGTGATAATGGATTACAATGACATTGATGAGAATCGCCTTGTAAACACAATACAAGAAATAATGCGCACAAGGTTGGTTAAAAATAATATTTTCTTTTGTGTATATATAGCATAAATTTCATTCATAAATTATCTCTTTTACAGATATACTGAAAATGCATTAGCACTTTCGAAAATATTTCGAAATCGCGAAAAAACTCCAATAGAAACCACAACTTGGTGGATTGAGCATTTATTACAAAATGGAAAAATAGCCAGTGAACTTTTGCATAATAAGGCCGTTCATCTTAATTGGTTTGTTTATCACTCTCTGGACAGTGCACTGATTTTACTTCTAGGAACTATATTATTCTTAATATTTATATGTCGTCTAGTCAAAATTGCGAATTTGGCGTGGAAACGTCGTTTAACTCATAAAATTAAACAAAATTAGTGATTTTAAGTGTATTAAAAAAGTTAGTTATTACAAACAAAACAAATTGTTATTTAATTATATTATTTATGTTACTATTAAAATCAGTTTGTAAATATATATATGTAAAAACAACTACGGTTTTATCGAAGTACGTCTTAACAGTATATTTTTACACTACGTTTTTATATGAAAAAAATAGCTGTTTCTCTTCAGTGGAATACCACTAAGTTTTCTACAGTTGAGTCTCTCTGGGTTGATAGACAATCGTTTTTGCCTAAAAGGTCATAAATTTTTATTCTGATATCACGATATCTTCAAAGAGAGACATTATGACATTAATTCGAAAGAGAAAGTATGCTCTGTTCTCCTCAGTAGAATACCACTAAGTTTTTTGGCAGTTTACTTGGTAGTTGGGTCTGTCTGGATGGACAAAATATCGCTTTTGCCTAGAAGGTTATAAATTTCTATTCTGATATTACGATATCTTCAAAGAGAGACATTATGACATTAATTCGAAAGATAGAGTATGCTCTGTTCGGTTGTTAATACAAAAGATCTATTATTACAATGCTCAGCTCCACTGAAAGCTCAAAATCCTGTAATTTTCTTTTCTATTCTATAATGCATTATTAGAACTAACGAAAATATTTGTTAAATAATTTAAACAGGTTAAAAAATAGTTCTGCTGTATAAATATATTTTAGATAAGTTTTTAAATATTTTATAACTGGATAGTACTTTAAGCTTTAGTTTGTTTTACATTAAAAATTAAATAATACACACTTCTTTACTTTTTTAGTTTACATGCTTGAATACTAATTTATTCTTCTTTAATGAATTTATATATACTAAAAATAGTGAAATATATAATGAAATGAAATGAACATTCCAAAGTAAAGTTTTGAATCCGTAGATAATACATACCATATATACGGAACTTCATGAATATTAAAATAGAATCAAGAAGGATCTGAAGGATCTATTCAATAAACAAGATACACCATTGAAAAATTACGTTTAATAATTTAATTTCATTTCATTAATTTACACTTCTTTTACAAAATAAAGGGCACAATTGTCTTTTATGAATACAAAAATATAAGAAACTTTGCTCTGAAAGAGAACACATTCTTCAGATATATTAAATTGATAAAAAAAAATAATGTTCTTAATATAAACCATTGTTTGCAATAGAGAAGATTCTAACAAACAATTTTTTTATTTTACGTTTTTTTTTTAATTAATTGAATTTTTGGCAGACCATACAGCTGTTTCGATTCAAAAATATGTGATATTATGATAGATAGTACAGACCTTATGCCACCATAAAAACATTAGTTTCATTCTATTTAATAACATATGCAGATTTCATTGAACATTGGTCTGATGATTTTACCTATATGCAGTCCATATAGTGTCACTGTGTTAGGTAAATACAAAAAAAGACTTAGTTTATAGGTCTAAAGAGTAGGAAGAAACCATGTTTTACCATAACTGTCAGTGTCCATATTTGGCCAATAAAAGACTAAAAATTTATGTGATGCACAATCGAGCAGAGCTGTCAAGCTTTTAAAATTAAGGAAATAGTCAAGTTAATAGTCTTTCCGTTTGGTTTACTTCAACTAAAATTGGGGAGTCGAGATGTATGTATCTACTGACTTAATAATTATGATATTATATACTATATTTGAACACAATTCAAAAAGTTCTATTATAATTTTTTTTCACTAATTTTATTAAATATATATTAATTTTGATATATTAAAGAAATTAAAAACTGACTTCAAGAGGTATGCAGTAGGCGTTAGCAATAATATGTTTTAGATTATAATAACGCATATATCTACTAACAATCACGGTATCCAATATGCATAATAAGCTCGTTTTCTTCAACAAGGAATACTATATATATACTGTCGCTAAGTAATACAGTAGTCTCTTTCAAAGTTGATAATAACATTAAAGTTTTTTTTGGTATTTATTAAGGATTGTAACGCCACCTTTCGGTGTCAATAAATACGTCAAAATTATAACAAGAAAAAAGTGAAGTAGTAAGTGAAAATAGTATCGTTCTCTGTTGCAGTCCGTTTATAAGTCTTAAATTATTATTTAAACTAAATTGGATTAAATTGAGCGTCTTTGCAAATTTTTATGAGCATTTTAGTAACTAACCGATTTCCAGAACGGAAACGAACAAATCACTTTTGGGTCTGGCGTTTATTCATGGACAGCATACCACAGAAATATTCAGAAATATTTAATCCAAATGTAAAAGATCTTTAAAATGGTTTTTAAAGATCTGGATTAGAAACAAAGTAAAATTTGAAATATATAGTGGACAAAGATTTCAAAAACTGACTTGTATATATAATGCAATAACAAACTAGCGTCCTTCAAAATGAAAGCTGGAAATCGACATAGATTGACTACACACCATTGAAACCAACTTCTGACATTACACAGCAAACACTCAATTGAAATCTCTATGCAATAGAAGGCAATGCCGTTCAAGAGAGGTGAAGAAAATTCATAGAATATTAAAATTCATAGAAATTTTGTGGAGATCCTATTTTTCACAAAATGTTGAAGGACATTAACGATAAATTGTTCTACAAAACCGTTTAGTTAAAAATTCAACGATCGTGATCCATACCCAACATCATAAATAATTTAGAATGCAATAACAAACTAGCGTCCTTCAAAATTAAAGCTGGTAATGGTCACGGATTAACTACCAACAACTGGAACCAGCTTTGGACATTACGCTGCATATTAAAATCCCTATGGCAATAAAATGTTCACAAAATGTTAAAGGACATTAATAAGAAATTCTATTTATCATATTAATTCCTTTTAGATGCAACTATACCATAAAATATATTTGTTTTTATTACTTAAGGTAAATTTAGTTTCGGATTTATGTATACATCTTAATTGACTCTAAAACACCAAAACAACAAAACCAACAATTAATTTTACGGCGATTATAAGCTCAATTAAACACAATGTATTGTATGTATGAAACCGTATAAGCACAGTGAAAACCCTCCTTATACACATGCCACATACTCAACATAGGGGCACAAAATAAAACAATTTCAGATGACTACGCCAATGCAAACAATTGAGCGATTACGTGTTTCTGCAGTATTTGAAATTCAAATTAAGTTCAATTTTTTTATCAGTCTGCAAAGACAGGCAGACCGGCAATACTTTTCGCTTTCTTCTCCATTTTTGCATTCGAACTTATGTTGTTAATGCTTTACACTCGCCTCTACATAAGCCTCTGTATAAGTTTCCGAAAGATTTGTGGTGGAAAATGTGTTTTTACTGTTGTTGTGGTAACTTGATTCACTTGTAATGCACTGAATTTGTGGAATTAATTATTTTTATTTACAGATACATGTTCGGCATTTAATCGTTGCAATTTAAAAAACACAGCAAGGCTATTGAATTACACATCGAGGTTTCTTCTAAGCTTTAATTTGCTGAGTTTGAATTCATATTTTATATAAAATAAAATATTTTTCTAATTTTGCTATCAAAGCATAATAAATATAACTCATAAATACTTTAAGAAACATGTTGTAAAAATAGTTTATTTTAATCTATTAGAAGATGATAAAATATGCAAGCATTATTTATCGCTTTAGAACAATTGTATTTTTAAGATAACGATTAATAGTACGTTTCCACTGGCCAATTTAGATGAATAGCTTCGTTAGACCAGTTAACTTACTTTATACTGCTTGAATTAGTTGAAGCTCAAGTAAGTTAACTAAGTAAGTTTACTTGAGATGGCTTGATTTACTTGAATCTCAAGTAAGTTAACTGGTCTAACGAAGTCAGTAGAAACAGTACTCTTAAAGTTGAACTTGTTTATATCTTATAAGGAACTTGTGGATTATTCAGCAGTTAACTTACTTTATACTGCTTGAATTAGCAGAAGCTCAAGTAAGTTAACTAAGTAAGTTTACATACTTGAGATTGCTTGATTTACTTAATCTCAAGTAAGTTAACTGCTCTAACAAAGTCAACTTTAAAAAAGTTCTTAAAGTTGAACTTGTTTATATCTTATAAGGAACTTGTGAATTATTCAGCAGTTAACTTACTTTATACTGCTTGAATTAGTTGAAGCTCAAGTAAGTTAACTAAGTAAGTTTACTTGAGATCGCTTGATTTGCTTGAATCTCAAGTAAGTTAACTGATCTAACGAAGCCAGTGGAAACATTACTCTTAAAGTTGAAATTGTTTATATCTTATAAGGAACTTGTGGATTACTCAGCAGTTAACTTACTTTATACTGCTTGAATTAGTTGAAGCTCAAGTAAATTAACTAAGTTAACTAGGTAAGTTTACTTGAGATTGCTTGGTTTACTTGAATCTCAAGTAAGTTAACTACTCAAACGAAGTCATTATTCAGCAGAGAGGGCTTGAAGTTTAAATTATATGTTGTGTAATATTTTGTATTGGTTCCCAAATATCCGGCAACACAAATCCGATTATGTCAAACGAACATGTGCTTCTTTAATGGCGACACTTCAAGCTACATTTTTTTATGATTTGTCACTCGTGTAAATAATGTATTAATTTGAAAATGAATAAAATATTTGAAGAAATATAATATGTGATGCTTTATTACTATAAAAAAGGTGAAACTGCTGCAAAAATATGCCGAACATTTCTGTGGTATGCTGTCCATGAATAAATGCCAGACTCAAAAGTGATTTGTTCGTTTCCGTTCTGGAGATCGGCTAGTTACTAAAATACTCATGAAAATTTGCAATGACGCTCAATATTTGGGGAACATTTAAATCGACACATAGAAGTTTGATTAACTGAATTACCTTTAGTGAAACGCAACGAAATCGAACCCTTTCCGAACCCTTAAAATGGATTATAGAATATCAAGACAAGAAAATCCATAACAAACGGTTTTGATCAAAGGCCATCACTAATGCTAGATCCATTATATATTCTTTAACTTAATATTTGATTATTTTTTATACTTGAATAGGTTTTTAAAAATATGGTAGCTTAAGGTTT